TTTGATTCTTAATCGATGATAAATGTATCTACATTTATCAGTCTATGGTCCACAGCATTCTTTTACCATCAGGTGAACTGTGTGCTCGTTTGTCATCCTTATTTTATAAAAAGGAAGTTGTGGACCGCCAGTCATCCAGATGGTATGGAAGGCATCGCGAGTTTTGTCGCTTTTTATTAGTCCGAACAATTCCTCGGAGCACTCCTCGTGGTAAACGCCATAAAATACGCAAAGAGATGCAACATATCTTCGCAGTGCCAGTGAGTCAAGCCGATCGGAATTAATGAGCATGTAATCGGAGCATGCACCGTCTACTATAACCTCGATGCTCCTATCAGCAAGAAAACTGGTGATCCAATTGCACAATTTCTCGGGAAGTCCATAGGAAGGAAGCTTCGTTAGAAGCGTTTTATACCGATCCCGATCGAAAGCCTCTCCCCCGATCTATGTCCAAGCTCACGGTCGACGCCTCTCTCATGGACTCTACTGCCTCCGCCCATTTACGAGTCAGGTAACCCAGAAAATCACCAGCCGACCGCCTTCGACGGAAACCGTACTGGCGGTCTCTATCCGCTGGTCATCCTCATGGTACCGCATGAGCTGGATGTTAAAAATGGACTTCAATATTTTGGAGAAAAAGGAGGTGATGGCGATAGGTCTATAGTTGGACGGACCAGAGCGGTTACCTTTTTTTGGGGTCGGGTGCACGAAACCTGTCTTCCATGATTTTAAGACAATGCCTTGGGAGTCGGAGTACCGGAAAAACGTGTTAAAACCGGTGGCAACTCCGGAGCAGTCAGTCTTCAGCAAAATGGGAGGAACTTCATCAGGTCCACTTGACTTGCTGATTTTCAGGGAGAGGAGTGCTTTGCGAACCGAGCGCTGTGTAAACAACACATCCGGTATGGAACACTCGAATCGCGGAATATTCGGCGGTGTTTTTTCCTTGTCATCGAGAGTAGAGATTGGCGCAAAAAAGAGCCTAACAGATTGGTTTTCTCCTTTGCGGCATGGGCCAGTGAGTCGCCCTCTCTGTGCAGAGATGGAAGAGATGGCTGACAGAAGTTTCATTGGACAACCTTGGCGGGAGACCAGAACGTAAGTGTTCTCTAAGGCAGTAGAACTAGATTTTACCTACTTATGGCGTTATGGAATCTAACAGGAGCAACCTAACCATGGCTGGGTTCAGCCTCCGATAGATACTACAAATGTTGAAGTAAAAGGTCCATTCCCTGTAGCTCCACGTTAACACCAGAATCAGCAACAGCGTTGGAATCATCCGGCGAGAAACAAACACGTCCCCAAGAAAAAGAATGAAACACGTCCCAATCGGCTGACCTACAATGCCAAACACGGCGGCAACCTCCAGAACGGAACAGCGTAGGAAGCGTGAGTGGCATTATACTCCAGATCAGACTATGGTTCAAGGAGCCAAGAGGGGCATCGACGGAGACCTGATATCCATCCGGGTAAGAGGTCAGTAGAACTTCCAACAGGGCATCACTAGAACTTTGACTGAAAGTGACAAGCAACAAACAAGTCTCAAATTTTAAGCACACAGTCTCTCGAGCGAAGTGCCTTATAATATTACGTTTGAAAGAAACAAAACATTTAAAGGAAATTGAGAATTCATCGAAATAATTTCCAGTTCATCGCTCCTTCTGGAGGGAACTACCCAACATTTCTCCAATGGCTTTGGCCAATTAAGAATATTTTTTCCTCTCAAACAACTGACAACCGATTGGGGTTATTAGTTGTTTGAGCAGTAAGGTATACATTACTTTTTACTTAATAACGTTTAAATAAAACTAGTTTTCACGGATTTTATCGCGTATATTAACTTATATTATATTCCTGACATTTTGAGCATTTTACAGCACCCTGGTCACGGGGGGAATGAGGTGTTTGACATCCCGATGTCATAGTTAACTACAGCTACCTCCACATTAAAAATGTTAATGTAATGCACGCTTGCTTTGTGATTTAATTTTATTAATTATAGGATTCCAAGCCGATAGTTGTACCCAACTATCTTCTCTATTGTAATTAGGGTGTTTTTTGATTTCAATAGCCTTGATAATGATACTTGGAAGGAATCGGTGTTCTTTAGATTTGTGGTTGTGGTCTATCAAATCTGATCTAGTGACGGGAGTGATCCTGTACGTGTTTACAGACTGCAGATTTCCCGAAGCGTCGATTCTTCACATCAGCTAAGTGTTTTTTAACGCGGGTTTTTATTGATCTTTTAGTTTATCCTATGTAAGAGAAACCACATTCAAAATCAAGCTTGTACGCTCCTGCATCTTGAAAGGGACATTACACTTAACTGATGGCAAAGACTGATTAATCTTCTTCGGTGGCTTGAAGTATGTTTTAATGGAAGCACGTTTCAAGATGTAGCCAATCTTGTCAGTGACACCTTTCACATATGGCAGTACAGCATGTATATGCTCGACTGTGGCCGGCGTCACTCGTTCACTGTTACGTAGGCGCGGGACCTGAAGCTTGTTGTCTTGTAAAACTTGCAGTACAGAGTTAACATCAGAATATCTATCTAAGAACAATCGCCCATAAGTCACTAACCCTACACTATCAGAAAACCGTATCTCAATCGGTCCACCCGTTTTTGGGTTAAATGGGAACATTCGTTTACACAAAAATGTTTACTGCAGCGCCCCCTGGTGAGCAGAGCAGAACTAGAGCAGCACCAGAACTTGTATATGAACTATTTCCGGTGAGTCACATACCCTTTACAAGGCAACTGTACTTAAATCGGTATAATCGTTTTAAAAATTAATGGGAGCATACGTTTGCACAAACAAACAAACAACCTCTCACCCTAAACGCATATACTTTCTCCGTTCCTTTGCGGGTAAAAATACTATCGCTTGAGTTTTATAAGTTTTGCGTTATTGCAACTATTTGTTATTAATTTAATTGCTTATAAAAATTTATTTTATGTTTCCTGCTATAACTGATATTGTGACCAAATATTACGCTCGTATACGCTAGAATATAAGCGAAAATATTGCTTAGAAAATAGTTAATTTAATGCTCTAAAAGTAAAAACCGGTAGTAGTACCTAAATCAACATCATATTATGTATTTTCTTACATACGTAACGAACTTAAGCAAACCTACATAAATATTTTATTAAAGGTAAAAATACCTTACTTTTTAAATTGCTTTAGGTAATAATAGGTCTTTACCTATGAAATTGTCGTTCTGCAGTACTGGATATTTCACATTAAAATAAATTTTGTTTCGCTAAGAATTCTAATGTCAAATAAATTTTATTTTAAAAACATGAATTTTTTTAAAACTAGTCATTTGTTTATTGAAAAGCGTTGTGTTTTCATCGCATTCAAATCTGTTTCGTCATCATGGATACGTTAAAAATTTTAGTAATTATGGAATATGAGTAGCGTCGTTGCAGTAAAGCGGCACCAGCGGTACGCAACATCAACGACGTTTACGGAGCAAATACTACAAACGAACGCACTACCTGTTATTAGTCGCTTCCGTTCTGAAAATTTCGACCTGAATAGTGAACCCCGTGGTCGTCCGAAACTTTGGTCGACAATGACGAATTAAAGGCGATTGTGGACGATGATGATACTAAATCTACAGCTGATTTAGCAGCAGCTTTCGACATCTAAATCATAACAATATTCGTTTAAAAAGTTAAAGTTACAGCCTATGTACGTCCTACTGTTGGCTTCTCATTTCTGAGAGGATTTTAGGGCAAGGAAATGGAAATGTCAGTGTTAATCTTGAAAATCTACACCCATGAGCGGAGTACCCGTACTCCGGATCATTTGTATTTCTCAGACCCGTAAGATTATTCACAATGTTTTCCTTCACCACCGAGTACGTGGTAAATCAGCACTTAAAATGGCAATTAAAAATTTCATTGGTGCAGGAGGGGTTCGAACCCGGGTTACACGCGTACTGTGAAATTTTACGTGGTAGAGCCACGCTGTGGCCATATTACCTATGGTTGTAGCACGAATGGGTCGGTTCGACCAGTGTAGCACTACGCTCTCATAGAATTCTAGCCTAAAATAGCAGCATAGTGCTGCTATATTTCGTATGGTGAGTGTAGAGAACCGGAGACATCTTTAACTGAAACGAGGCATTCCATCCTAGACCTCAGGGGTGACAACGCATGTGCATTTCGATTCTCGATCGAGGATAAATGTAGATGTCTATGGGCTACAACATCCACTTACCATCAGTTGGACTATGTGCTCTTTTGTCACCCTTATTCTACTAAAAAAATTACACAAGCACTAACCATTTGACCTACCACGGAACCGTATTGGTCAACTCACTGACTTTTATAGCGGAATATTTCATAAACACAAACACTTCGAAAAGGACGAACTACAATTTACAATTAATTTGGTAATGGTATTTGGAAATGATGTGAAACGTACAGTGCACAAAAGATAACTGACTAAAGCAAATTATCAATTCATGTCAACAAACTAGACACTTGAAAATGAAAATGGTAATCTTGTTCGATTAAAAAACTTTAATCATAGACACTCTATTAGCAGTTACAGTAAATTAACATCATCAAACAAAGTAAGGCATGTCAACAAAGTAAGGCATCTCAACAAAGTAACGCAACTAACGACGTACCATTAAACAACGACAATAAAAACACAAATAGCTCTATCAGCCATCGAGACAAGATTGACTGAACACGGCGCGTGGTCTCCGCACTTGGAGGAAAATGATTTTGTGTAGATCCAAAACATTTCAAACCTCCGCCCTGCGCTGGAAGGCTTTTAATTTACCCTGTCCCGAGCTTTAGACTTTAGTTCTACGTGACGCTGCGTCGCGGATGGACGTGATATGTTTCCACACAGTTCACATGAACTTTCTGTTATGTCATTCGTAATTTTCCGAGAGTCGAGTTCCGTAGCTTGTTTATATTGAGTGTCTTCTCGGGGGTGGTGGTTGGTTCAGTGAAGTTCGATGATACTGGTGAGATGGTGCGGCGGTGGGAAGCTAGGCATGCTTCTATCACGCATCTATGCACAGCTTTATTGTGGTTGTTTACACGTTTCAACGGTACGTTTTATAGTATTATAAGGGTCAAATTAAGTTTTGAAAGAGCCACGGTTATGTTTGGCCGACTCAGGTAATTTTATGCATTACGCAATTGTCACTTTTATTTATTATTTATGCATAAAAGTGACAATTGCGAATTCTTTGCCTTTTTTATTATAACGCAAAGTTTAGAATTTTTTGAAAATTTCAGGAATTGATTTTTGTAAAATGAAAGAATTGTTACTTCATTCATTATTCATTCCGTAAAGCCCACAAAAAGTAAAAAAATCCACTAACGTAGCCAAGTTAAGACAAACATTTGACGCGACAAATAACAGAATAAATATTTTAAATATAAATATTATTGCGTAAAGTTAGTTTTAAAATTTATTCCATATTTGTCCTAGTGCGTAGTTCGAGAGTATGATAAATTAATATTAATAATATTCATATCATTGAGAAACAAAATAAGTATTATTAACTATTTAAAATATTTAAGTATTTATTGAATTTTTGTATTTGTAATTTTCTGGTTAACCTATGTATTATTTACAAGGCCCGTATTATTTAGGATCACCTTTTTGTGTTAGCATTGATTATAGTATTTATTAAAATAAATATTATTAGAAATATATCTGCTCATTAAAACCTTAAACTTCATTAACATTTTTAAAATCTTAAAATCAGTTTGATTTTTAAAATCAGAAGAATATTATAAGGCATTCAGTCAGGTGCTCACTGATAATCGCATTGTTTGGAAACTCACCCCTCCATGCGCTCCACATTTCGGGGGTTTGTGGGAGTCCAATATTAAGGTTGTAAAAACCCATTTGTTTCGCGTAATAGGTAAGCAAATCCTCACTTATTAATCTGTTATCACACTTTTCTTTAATAGATTCTTTAGTTCAGTCCTTTTGGAAACGCTTCAGATTCGAATACTTACATACATTACAGAGTAGAGTGAAGTTTATATATACAATACACTTATATATACAATACACAAAATTCAATACTCATTTTTATTATGTGTATTTGAGAGACAAAAATGAACAGAGCGACAGACATATTGTGTAGACAAATTATATGTAAATTATAATTTTGTTAACATCTTGGTAAAATATGCTAGATTTAAATTTTATCACTTAGTTAATCAAATTAGGTAGACTTTTATATATTAATTTTTTGTCATTATATTCTTTATAATAAAAAAAAACATAAATGTCTGCCTATCACTGGCCAAATGAATTAAGGATAAGGTTTTCTGTAACATACCTAGTAAAACTAAAATACAAAGCTACTCCATTGAGGCAGTCATTTTACAAATGAATTCCACAAACAACAGAAAGTCAGCAAGTTTCAAAATGTTGTAAATCTATGATAAATATTTATTTATTTAACCCCATATTGCAGCACACCTTCAACGAGAGGTTACAATCCTAATGGCCTATGCATGTCTCTACCAAAATATTGCTATTTTTTATTTAAGTGCATTAAAAATAAAAGTATTTCCTACAAATATAAAAAAAAAACAGCATACATATTTATTTAAAAAGTCATCTGATATTAATCCTAGGCTTAAAAAAATCTGAATAGATTAGTTCTAAGCGAAGTTCCGAAGTCAGCTAAATATAGTAAATGCTGTTCATCAATGTGTGTACGTATATACAGGTTGTCCCGTGGCAGATTTAGGATTTGAAATTCGAATATTTTTGCAACGGTTACGCGGGGGACCGGGGAGGGGTGACAGTTTGGCGCGGCATTTGTGCGGATTGGTCAGTCACGATGTCGCAGTGGACTGGCGCGCACCGCGCTTTCGCAGTTGAAGGGTATTTTGAAGCTAACAAATCGTGCACTGTTGCTCGCCGGTGATTTTGTTCTCACTACAATATTCGTCGCTTAAGTGATGTACCGAGTTAAAGTTTGATTTTTACGTGGGTCCAGAAGTTCCGTGCAACAGGTTCAACAGTTAACGAGCCACGCCCAGGTCCTAGCCGAACGTCGAGAACTGCACAAAACATTGAACGCGTTGCAAAAAAAAAAAACACGGTGCACCGTATTTTAAGCTTGGACATTAAATTCCACCCCTTCAAGATCCAATTGGTACAACAGGCACTTAAACCAAATGACTACAGAGAACGCAAAGAGTTCTGTGATAAATGTTGAGCCGATTCCGTACTGTTAAGGCTTCCGTCTAGCTGTGCTGTTTTACATTTCCAGCCATTAGAGGGGGGCGCTCTCCCCCGTGCATAAATACGTTCGAGATCGCACGTGAAGTTGCTCTATTTCATTAAATATATAACTTATTAATATTTTTCCAAAATATTCCTTTTACTTTTGTTGTGGTAGTATAATTTTTTACCCTTTTATATTTTATAAATGTCGTTTTAGTCGTATTTATACGGGTTGTAAGTTTAAAAAAGGGTAAATACAACCGAAGGAAAAAATACTGCTTTTTGTTTTTATTCATACAAATTACGTCTCTACATTGTACATTTTGTATTATGAATAAGTAAATTTTTTAATTTAATTTTTTTTTGTATGCAATGTGGTTCAGCTCCATGATTCCAACTCCTCCCGTCTAATCGAATGTATATTTTTTTTTATACAAACTGAACATACAAATAGCGCTTATACCTGTTTTTTTTTAAGAAAAATCGTATAGAGAAGTAATTTAGAAGGCAATCGATAAAAAATTCAAACAAAAGAATAACTGAATACACAAATATTTATTTTTTTAGTTGGTGACAAGATTAAAAATAAGAAAGTTTTTTTCGAGTGTTTTGTGTATGGTGTAGGGGTTAACTTTTTGGGGATGTTTTATGCTTTTTATTTTCTATTGCTTCTGTTATAAATGGTGGGTCTTTTATCGGCATAGAACGTTCAAGGCGCGAATCAATTATTTCTGGTAGCAGACAACTGTGGTAAAACTTTGTCAAAGGGGGCAGCATTTTTGTTTCCCAAAACTCTTTATCCCTTGCTATATATTCTACTTTCATCGGTTGATATTCACTAGTCCAAACTGCAAACACGCAAATATTTTGTTCCGTTATATTAAGTTGACCTTGAATTTGGTAGTAATAGCTGTGGTTTTTATTTACTTTGAATATATTCTTTTTGTCGTATTTCCAAAAGGTTATTTTGCTTATGTTAAATTCTGCGTTACATAATTGACATTTCAAGCACAACGTTGAAATAAAGCCTTTTCTGGTCTCACCGATGCATTTCAAATTTGAAAATCTACATCCAAATGATTCATGACTGTGATCAGCAACTGCTTGCAGAGAAAGTAAAAAGTATCGTATAGAGACAATTCTACGTCCCTCTAAATCAAAATCCTCTTTTTTTACTACACATTTTTTCACGTTCTACATTGAAGTCGAAGCAATCACCCTTTTCACGTGCGGCCGGCTGGCGCTAAAATAAAAAAAATAATAGCTTTGTTTTACATTTCTAAGATTCAAATTTTATGAGCCCATATTTATCATATTTGAATTACCTTGGTTTTATCTTTTCTAAAAAGGCAATCCACTGGTAGATTTTCGTTTTCGCCCCTTTTTATTAACCTAAAATAAATATTATTATTAGCTTTTTTAAATAGCAAAACTGCAAGTATTTATTTATGTACATAAATAAAAAGGAATAACAATTTTAAAACAAATGCGATATTGTAGACATTAAACATGTACAACATGTGTTTTATGCACGATAACTGGCTAATTAACTATATATATATATATATATATATATATATATATATATATATATATATATATATATATATATATATATAAAAAAACTCAAAAATAACTGTATATGTACCGAGTTTTCATTTTGGGGTTTATTTGCTACATCTTGTCCTTTTGTTTCCTTAGAACCATTAGTTGGTATTAAAATACTTTTAGAAGAATATTGAGGTTTGTTCTCTTGATCACTAAAACGAAAAGTATTATACGTATTGTATATGTAAGTATTAAAGTTAATATGGCATTAAAGTATATATTTTAATCAAAAAAGGTAACAACAGAAAATGTTACCATGGCATAATATCATTTACTGGAGGGCAAGTGTTGCTAAAATTTGACATCGGTTGACGATCCGTAGACGCAGTGGCACTGACATTACTGAAAAGAATAAAGGTCACGTAAATAAATTACTGACAATCCAAACAAAATAAAAATAATATTATTTTAATGAATTCTATTATAATAGAGACGGACCTTGCATTTTTCGGGATAAATTAAACACACACGTACAAACATAAAGACAGATAAGAATATTTCCAAACAATTGCTCATCAATATCGATAGTAATGAGCAAATAAAAGCGTCCGTGTCGCAAGAAATGTAAACGTACTTACTAGATTAAAAAACAAAGCGTCTTTATGGCAGTACCATAACCCTACTAATTCACTATCCTAATTACAATAAATATAACAATAGGTAAGCGTCTTTTACGCGGAAACGTTCACAGGGCACGCGTCACCTGCACTACCTGCGCTGCCCGCTCGCCGACAGTTCTCTAAGTAGCTAAGTATAGATTGTATTATTATATAAGTAAGATGCTAGTTTCTAAAATTTAAATAAATCCGTAAATAATAACGTCTAATTGAAAAATAATTGCTTCATGAAACGAAAATGTGAAAACATATTTGTTTTTTATAGGATAGGGCACAGAGTCCACCTGGTATGGTAAGTGGTTGCTGTGGCCCATAGACATCTACATCTATCCTCGATTATGACTCAAAATGCAGATGCGTTGTCACCCGTAAAGACTAAGATAGAATGCTTCGTTTCCAGTAAATAGAGTCTCCGGTTCTCTACACTCACCATACGAAACACAGCAGCGTTAAGCTACTATTTCACGCTGGTATTCTGTGAGAGCGTCGTCCTTCCCCGGTCGAGCCGACCCATTCGTGCTACAAATATACATCTAATATAACTACAGCATGGCTCTACTACGTATATAAACGTCGCCTTTGTAGCAGCACGTTGTACATATGTATAGATAACGCGATAAATAAT